TCATTCCATCTTCATTTCCTTCTGCATATTTTTATGCGATGAATTCTCAGCTGGTTTGTCGCCAGAGTTCCTTGCCGCTTATTCTTTGTGGTTAGATGATCTTCAATACTGAGTAAAGGCAGTTGTCATCGCTTGAAGCGATATAATAATTTGTTCGTCTCATATAAAGCTCAAATTTAACTGTATTGAAAAGCATACATTTCTCTCCGGTAGGAATGAATCAAGGAGAGATCCAAAAAGAATGACAGGCGTTACACAACAGGCGGTTTTTATTGCTGAATAGCTTAGTAGATGAGGTTTTGCTGTTTAAAATGACCAGTGCCGAGTTCGAGTCTCAGTTTTAAGACTGTTACTCACTACAGTGTCAAGCAAATCCAGATGATGAGTCATGAAGGGAACGAAACTGGCATCCTGCTTTCCACAGCTAGCCATCGACAACCAGTTAATTAATTTAGACATAGAGAAGACAGAGTTGATGAAGATACCTTGCCAAAAACAACAACAACAAACATCATTCACCATTTTAATGTGGTTTGTTCTCTCAGCTGGATGGTTAGTTTGCGAAGCTTTCATCGCCTTACTGGGTGACATCTTCAGCGCATACTTCAATTTGAAGTGAGCTTTTAGGTTTCTCCACGAGTTTATTAATCATTCCTCCTGGTGACCTTGGACCTGATTGGTTGTCTAATTCGTTTCTTTTGATTATTACAAATGTGTCGTCGACGTAGCGTATCCAAATCTTGGGTTTGATCTTTGGTAGAATTATGTTTTCGAGTCTTTGCATCACTGCTTCTGCAATCAAACCTGATATTGGCGATCCCATGGGTGTTCCTTTGACTTGTTCATATATTTGGCCGTTGAATTGGAAGTATGTTGTTAGGCATAGATTTATGCATTCCATCCAGCTTGTGTGTTGCATTTTTGATTGTTGTGGAAGTTGTTCGTCGTTGCTAAGTAATTGCTCCATGGTTTCTTTTGCTAGTTTTTGTCCGATAGAGGTATATAATGCTGTCACGTCGAAGGATACCATTATTTCTTGTTCATCTATTTGGATGTCTCTGATTTTCTCTAGGAATTGGATAGCAGAGTTGATGGAGTGATCACAAGATTCCGTTAGGTGTTTTAGTTTTCTGTATAATTCCTTGGACAAATTATATGTTGGAGTTCCTGGGAGTGATACAATTGGTCGTAACGAGATATTTGCTTTGTGTATTTTGGGTCTGCCGTAGAATCGAGGTAGGACTGATCCATTGGATTTCATTCGCCATTGGTCTTGTTTTGTGATCTGTCCAGTTTTGCTGAGCTTGGATACGCTACGTCGACGACACATTTGTAATAATCAAAAGAAACGAATTAGACAAAACTCACAACTTAATAAACAACGTCTTCAACGACATGAAATTCACAAGAGAAGAGGAATCCGAGAACAAAATACCATTTTGGACGTCTTAGTCAGGCGAACAACTACAGGAGAATTAGAAACTCAAGTTTATAGGAAATCAACTCACACAGACCAAATACTGAATTACAACAGCAACAACCCAATAGCACACAAAAGGAACTGCATACAAACACTATTCAAGAGAGCAAGGACTCACTGCAGCACTCCCACCTTGAGAAAAATTGAAGAAAAGTATCTCATGGACGTCTTCCAAAAGAATGGATATCCACGGAATTTCATCAAGAGACATATACCCCCAAGCCAACCAACCAAAACAAAAGCCACCAAGGAAAACACAAAGAAAATCGCCTTACCATATATCAAGGATATCTCAGAAATCAGTACAAGACTCTCCAAACCTTTAGGAATTGACGTCGTACACAAACCAACAAAGTCGCTGCACTCAATTCTATGTCAACCAAAAGACTCAACAGCAAAAGAAGACAAAACCAACATCATCTACAAAATAAACTGTAACAACTGTGAAAAACACTACATTGGCCAAAGTGGACGTCCCCTTCGTCTTCGTATCCACTAACATAAGCCAGCCGTCAAAAGACATGATATACACTCCCTCATTTCACTACACACGGACATCAATTCGACTGGGACAACGTTCAAATATTAGAAAGAGGAAACAACAAGAATGCTAGAGAATTTTTAGAAGCTTGGCATTCCAGTGAATCATCAATCAATAGACACATCGAGATAGACTAAATTTATCAATCGATAAGAAAGAAACTTCACACACAAAGGGTCAAAGTTCAAGTCACAGAAACAATCAGTTCCAATACAAGTAACCTAGAAAGTGTGAAAACACACATAAACAACCAATCACGTCCAAGGTCACCAGGAGAGATGATTAATAAACTCGTGGAGAAATGTAAAAGCTCACTTCAAATTGAAGTATGCGCTGAAGATGTCACCCAGTAAGGCGATGAAAGCTTCGCAAACTAACCATCCAGCTGAGAGAACAAAACCACATCAAAATTATCCACCTGAGCTACAAATCTTCTCTATCGTATCATTCACCATCAAGGGAAGAAATCTAAAGTAATTCACCTTTTTCCTATATCTAGTCAGCGTCGTGACGCGAATGATGTTAAAGCGCGTTGGTATGGAAAAGAAAGAGATTCTTTCACTGCTTAAGAAGTCAGTGTGGCAATTTACTGAACTCAGCATAAGGAACAATACCCGAATTTCCAACACTAATTTCAACGCAGTGCTTCTATACAGTTCAGAAACTTGGAGGATCTCGGAAAGTATTTTCAACAGACTGGAAACTTTCACCAACATTTACCTTCTCCCCATACCTGAATTCAGGTCGCCAGGAAGAATAAGCGACAGCGAACTTTGCAATACAATGAACCAACCAAGAAAGTACTACTCAGCAGTTATATAGAAGAAAATGGAGTTGGATTAGTCATACAATGAGAGGATCGTCAAATGACGTCACACGAAAGACAGGTTTTAAAAAGGAACCCTACCGGGAAACGAAGAATTGGGCATGAGTGCGAAGGTGATATGAAGATCTTGTGAAGGGAAAATAAATACTTATTGGTGATCATATAGTCAGCTAAGAAAAAAATCTAGAAAGAGCAGAGTGAAGTGGAGATATTCTGGTGAAGCCCTATGTTCCATTAGAAACGCAAGGAAATAATAATATTATGTAGTCTAAAAAATAATTCGCTTCGATAAACTTGCTTTATAAGTGGTCATCATATTTAATTACTTCAAGATTATTCATTCTTCACTTTTTACAAGTGAGACGAGAATAATTAGAAAATAAAGCCATTTAATTGACCGACTGATAGCAACACTTTCATCACAGCTATTTAATCTTCGTTTTCAAGGAGTATATAAAAAGAATAATTTGAATAAATCATAAACTCTATGATTACCTAAATAAAAATAACTTCATGGACCATCTGATCGGGTCCCAGTGGCTTAATGGTCTACGAGCTAGCTTGCCTGGTAACCAGAAGTTCCTGGGTCACGAACGCTGGTGAGTGTGTACTGATAAAGGGTCCCAAACTAGGACGAAACAGTTGTCCAGTACTCCCTGCAGATTTTCCAATGGTTCTCTAACCGATGTCAGCTCGTGATAAAATCCTGTAACCAATCACTCAAATCCCTACAAACCAGTACTTGAAATACAAACTATCTGGCATCAATTAAAAAAACACTGTAAACTGTGGAGTACTGGACAGGTGTGTTTCGTCCTAGTCTGTGGCTCTTCGTCAGTACGCACCCGATAGGGTTTGAACTTAAGACCTTCAGACCACAAGGCGAGCTCGGAGGCCATTCAGCCACATGGACCTGATTCAACTGGCCATGAATTCCAACTCCTTCTAGTTTATTATTATTAACATTGTTATTATTATTATCTTGGGTTCTGAGTGGAACATAGGGCTTTAACAACACATTTCCATTTTGTTCTATTTTTTACTGTCCTCTTCTTCTGGGTCTCATCTCCTCCTCACTACACGATCTCCTGCATGTCACTCTCACAGTAACGACCCACTCGTCGTTTCCCACTGGGATTCCACTTGAGGGCCTGGTGCACAATGTCATTCAACGGCCTCCTCAACGGATCCCCAATCCATCTTCATTTTCTCCTACACAATTGCTGAGTAATCAGCTCTTGGTTGCTTTTTTCCCAGCCAGAGTCTCTTGTTACTTGTTCTTTCTGACCGGCTGGCCATTTGATCTTCAGTATGGTGCCAGCGAAGTGGGCAGCTGTTGATAAAAGTCAGTAACTTGTTGGAAATGCTTTTCATTACACGCTGGCCAAGTTTCTGACCGGCATATAAAAGGTAACTGACTTCACATTTGTGTTGAAAATCCGAATCTTTTTCATAATACTGACTGAGTGCAGTGTATAGGATTTCCAAACTGGTTTCAGGTTGATGAAGGCATCTCTTGCCTTCCTGATTCTGTCTTGTGTTGACATCTTCATCCCATTCGACTGCCTGTAGTTGAGGCGATGCTTCCTGACCATATAAGTGAAGGAAGTAACCTCCGTTAAATCTCTCCCGTTGATGTTGATTGGTGCTGGTTGTTATTACTGTTAGTTGGTGGTTATCTTCATCATCTCCTTCTTGTCTATGTTCACCTGGAGTCCTGTCTTCTCTGCGCAACTACCACTCATCATCATAGGCGAGTAACCGATCCAAAACTAGAACGAAACAGCTGTTCAGTACAACCAGGTTTTCCAATGGTTCACTAACTAATGTCAGTTCTCGGGCAAGCTTGTAACCAATCAAATCCCTGCAAACCAACACACATGATATTTGACGGACACAAAAGGCCAATAGATAGTCGATCAGAATAAAAATACATTCTGTAGTTCACTTTGACACCGAATTTTCAATTTTATTCAGTCAACTAACCTTAAAAGTGAATGTCCGACTAGCTATCCAGTAAACTACTGATGAACTCCAAATTCCATACTTGTACCAAAAATACGGTGTGGAATCAAGCTGTAATCAAAAATAAAAATAAAAATAAATTTATAAACTGAAAACAGTTAAATTTAAGAAGAATTAAATGTCATACAGGAAAAAAAAGAATAAAATACAATTGTGACATTCTCTTTGAAATCTTAGTGTTAAATTCATATCACGTGATGACTGACATATTATCTAAAGTGTATTGAAAACTTATTATCAGTCAATCGATATATGCATATTGTTTAAATAACTAAAAAGAATAGAGAAGAGAATCCACTCATTTATTCATCCATCATTAAAGTAGATAGAATACACTGAATGTTAAAAGATTAAATAAAAACAAAATTGAAGAAAGAAAATTAAAAGTAAAAAAAAATTTATTGAATGAAGTTTATTTAATGGGAAACTGTCTAAAAATTACAAACGAAGACGAGTCACAGTGTTCAACTAATGAAGAATTACATTCTTCTGACTCAAAATGTAAAAATTCATTAACTTGTAGAAAAAATAGTAACAATAGTATTACTAGTGGTTTAAATGTACAACAAGCTGGTGACAGGATAAACGAAAATGAATCACATAAAATCTGTGATACTACAGGTAGTAATGCAAATCATAGAATAACAACAATAAAGGTTGATGATGTAATGAATTATAATAATAAATTGAATCATATACAAGAGAATGAGTATATGTCAGCAATGAAAGCTGATGGTGATGTATATCATGATTGTGAAACTGGTTCATCATTTGCTGAAACCTGGGATCCTGTTCTATTTGATCATCTACCTGTTCAACAAAATTTTAAACTAAATGAATTAAGGCATGATAATCAATTGGGTAAGAATAATCGGGATAAATATCAGATGAATAATAACTTAGAGGTATATAAACAAAATCGATTACCGCTAATAAGTACTTCTATACTTGGATTTACTGTATTACGATCAGATATACCAGATTCAGTAGAATGGTTACGTAATGGAGAAATTGAAAATCCAAAGATTAATTTAAACAAATATCTAATTAAAGGTAAATGTAATAATAATAAAAAATTGGATAATGGTAATGAAAATAATACTAATGCTGATGAATTAGACGATACTGTCTTAAAAGGTGGATTTACATCAATCCATGATAGTTGGCTACGTTATACAATGTTTATTCATCAAGAAAAATCAGATAGTGTACAATTTCTTAATACTTATCGTAAAATGAAACATATTTTTCTTAGTTTAGAAGTAAGAACTGGTTGTGAGATTCGAATGAGCCGACGTTTATTCTTGCATAAAGGAAAATTAGTACGTACAATTGTTATTGATGGTCCAACAAGACAACAAATACTACGATGTTATTCAAGCCTGCCTGAATTGTTAACTCGTTTAATGATATTAGAATGTGAACGACCAAGTGAAACAGAATCAAGAACACTGAGTAAATTTAAGAAAAATAATGAAAGAGGATTTAGAATGTTTACATCATTATTTCAAAAACCTGTATTAACAGCTTAGTTTGTCTATTTATGCTTTTTTTTTCTCTCACCACTAACCTTATTCATGTCAGCGAATGTCTTTTGGCTTTACGCTAACTCTTATTGTACTGTATGCATATGTATTCAAAAGTATATGCTAAAGAGATAATGTATAATAGTAAAAAAACGAAACAAATCGTAATGTTTAATTGAATTTTAGATTTTCCCGTCGATTGGTTGGACCGAAGTGCTCGGTCTCATGTTGACGTGTCGGTTTCTTGTGCAGATGCTTCGACGATGTCTGGGCATGAAAATAGAAGTTAATTGGTGGATGGTGACTAGCAGTGGAATCCAGAATGCACATTTCGTCCTATCTGGGACTCTTCATCTGGATGTACCTGGATTCCGCTCTCGTGGCCCAAGTGGTCTAGTAAATAACGCCTTGGCTTTTGAAACTATGGGCACTGGGTTCGAGCCTCGTCGGGAACATCATCACTCACTATGGAATGCAGGTACATCCAGCTGACGAATCCAAAATAGGACGGAATGCACATCCTGGACACCTCTGCTAGTCACCATCCACAGATTAAAAGCGCATTGTACTTAGGGAGTCTTCAGTTCTAACAAATAGTTTAGTCTGATCCATAAATAATACAAGGTGTACTACGCAACAGTTTGCTCCATCCTTCTTTATGACTGCGAGGCCGTTGAAAGTGGAATGCACACAGAAGACTAGCCGTATCCACATTTTATCTTTCATGATCGGTGGTATAATATGATAACTAATAATGACGTTGGGTGAGGGGTGAAAGTCAGTTGATGACATTCTAAAGCCGAATCGCCTGCAATAGTTAGGACACGTTTCACGCATTCTGAACCATCTCATCCCTTGTGGAGCAATGTTGACCAACCTAGGATCAGAATGAAAAAAAAGTGTTACAGATAGTCACACCGAAACATGACATCTATCTATGAAATGCTTGACTGTTGATATGAGTCACACAGGTGGATACATGCCAGTCTGGTTAGGTTTATCAAGACGATAAGAACCATTCACTGAAGACTGTTATCGACACGATTTAAAAACGTTCTTAATGGTTCAAGGTCCATTCACTATTTGTGAACTCCGAGATCTATTAAGTTCTGATTATTCTACCTATTGTACCACTCCATTTATAGCTCATTTGAATGTTTTTTTTTCTCTACCTCCATGTATATGTGGCGACTAGAACTGTTTCTGTTTTGTCAAAAGTTCTGCGTCCGAAATCTAGTTCTTTACACGAGGCATACAAAGGTAAATTATCAGGGTGAGCTTGTAGTCATTGTCCTTATATTAACTGAATTGAAATTGGGAACTATATTGAAAGGATGAAAACAATATTTGGAAGGTTCCTAAAGAGGAGGAAGAGAGAGAAGTACTATTATTTTAATAAAGAAAATGCTTGAGTGAACAGCAACAAATATCTAAACACATTGAATAGATAGAATTAAAAATTAAAAAGAAGACCAGAAGAATCAAGTACATGATTTATTTCTTAGAAAGGGAGGGAAACTCATATGTGAAAGCAATTATTTCTAGAGATTTTAGCATGACACAATTAGGTCTCCATTATTCTGCATCTAACTCTTGTTTCTGTTTTATGTTATCGTCTACTATGGTTTCATTACATTCCTTTTTACGAAGTGTGGCAACTTTAACTGTTGGCTCTTTGTAAAACGTTCTACTTTGATAATTTAGAGGGAACAAAGTGTAATATGTATGATTACTAATAAAAAAACACTTTGATTGGACACTAATAAGTAGTGTTATGTGTCTAGTCCTTTCTTTGGTGCAGATTGAATTCTATCAGTCAAGTTTGCAATGTGGCCACCATTCTAGGTAGCCCGCCATCACGGTGTACGTTGATTTGATGATATTAGATGTGTTGGAGGCAATCGACAACAAGCTTTGGACCTAGGACATTTTACCGAGGTTAATAACACTTTCTTCTTTAATTTACAGCTCAGAAATGCTGAGGGTACAAGCGTCATTTTTTCTGAAGTCTCTCACTAGGCAATGTGCATTCTAATAATCTGAACGGTTAAATTACTTAAAGTTACTTCTTCTCTTATTGAACAAGAAACTCAATATAATTGTAATTTGCTTTTGTAAGTAAACAGTGAATGCGTCGGTGTCACAGCGGTTGGGAAGCTCGCCAACCGTGCACATGGTCCGGGGTTCGATCCCCGGCCGACTCACTCCTTTACCTCGCTAGGCCAGAAAGAATGACGGTAAACAGGAAAGGTTGAGCATAGGACTAGCAACCCCATCCTGTAAAAATAAACACTGCTATAGAAACTTCAAGCCACTGGCTTGAAACCCTATGTTCCACTGGGAACGTGAAGGAAAAAAAAAGTAAACAGTGACATGTTCTCTTATGGGTTAGCCTTTCAATTTATTACGAAACAGGTGTTGTGCACTCTCTGAGTTGTAAAAATGTTTATTTTTTTAAAATTGAACTGTTCTGAACTTTGTGCAAAACAGTACCAGTTCTGGTTGTCACTCTTCGTTAAAGCATACATGAAGGCAAAAGAAAAAGCAAATAAACTATAAAAAAACGGTAACTACTTATAGAATAATGAGAATTTAGTGGATCTAAGGGTTTATAAAGAGTGAATGCATTTCTACCACTGAGAACATTTAAGATCCATTTCACCAATAGTCTCCAGCAATTGGTTCTTATAATCTCAAAGGCCCCATTCAGACAGCCTGTGTCTTCATACTTGACCTAAATTCCACAGGCATGTTTTGGTGTGACCACCTGTTTCTGTCTGTTTTCGACATAAAACTTTGCACCGATATTCAGCACTTCAAGTCACCACACTCCATGTAGCACACGAAGCAAGAGAAGAAAGTGCAAGAAAAGCATAATAGAGACAGTAAGCAGAGGTGTGAGACAAAGGAGTAATAAAGAAAAACAAAACAGTTTCATTGGAGATCATAAGTCACAAGGAGTGGATGCATCTGCGCCACTGAGAACGATTTCGAGCCATGTCATCAATTGTTTCCAACCATTGGTTTTTACCGTCCCAAGGACCCCAACCAGGAAGTCTACACCTTCCTACGTGACTGGCTTAGACTAACTGTTGTAGATTTCATTGACTGGTGCCATGTTTTGGTTTGACCGCCTCTAGCTCTTTTCCAGCCTGACCACCTGTAACTCTTTGGTTGACAGTGCTAGACAAGGAAGTTGATGACTTGTTCTAGCGACCTCAACTCATACAGCTTGACAACTTCATTACTTTAAAAGTAATCATATATTCATAATCCTAACAATTATGTAACAAAATTTAAGCTCATGTAACAGATAGAAATCCACAATGCATTTTCAAGAAAACGTTATTTTGGGTGGTAACTGAAAACTTTATAAGGTATTTAAGATGATTTATGCATTATTAACATAACACACTCCGATACTGTTTACTTGTTCTTGTTATTTTGTCTTTTTGTCATTGATATTTTCTACTTGAAGGCCAATTTTATTTATTAGTGTTTTTGTTATTATTATTATAAATAATCAATAAAATGGAATTCATTTAGTCTACTTATTTTTTTTTATAACCGATGTATGAATGTATTGATTAACTGAGTAGAATATTTAGTCAGTTTTGGTCTCATTTTAATCAGAAAGTATTTTAAGTTCACTTGAAAGTAAGATTATTTCATGCGTAAGAGTTTATTTGGTATATTTGACTTCGATACTTTTGTTCATGAGTTTGTTGTTTCTAACTTAGATCACAAGCTGACATTAGTCAGAGAGCCATTAGAAACCAGGGATGACTGGAACTCTTCAGCAATACCCACTTACTACTGCACTGGAGATCAAACCAAGAACCTTAGGGTTAAGAGACCATCCACTCTCTGGGACAGAATCCAATTGTCTATGAATCCTGTATCCTGTCAATTTATGATATGTAGCACCACTGCCAACCGATGTCCACTCCACAGATGTGTTCTCAAATTTGACTTGGTGAAGCTCAATGGCTACTACTTTTCCCTTTTATCTCCAGACAACTTCATCGTGTGGCCAGTCAGTAGTGAGCATCAGATTAATTTGGTTTTTATGGATGAAACTGCTGTCCAGTACTCCCTGGTTTCAATATTAATTTGTTTATTGAATTTATCACATCGTGAGACAGTATTACTTACTGGATGATATCCCGAACACAAATGGCTATTTGTGATCATATTGATTGTGTATAAATGATGTCACGTAGTGAGTGAACTTGAAGCCCATGTAAATCAATACTTGGAATTCTGTTATTTTCGCTTAATTGTTGATTTCATTTTGCCTGAATGATATATAGTGCCGAAAAGAGATGAAAGCCGCGTCAAATAAAGAATCCTGACAGCTAACACACTGGACTTTGATGTGGTTTTGTTCTCTGAGCTGGATGGTTAGTTTGCGAAGCTTTCATCACCTTACTGGGTGACATCTTCAGCGCATACTTCAATTTGGACTTATTTGAGGCTTCACTTTATTTTTAGCGGATACACCACATATATGATTGTGTTCCACACTAATAACATGAATGCCATATGTGTTATCATAAGATCTCAAACTACATTATATTATTGTTATTATATCCTTTAATTCCTAGAGGAACATAGGGCTTCAGCCGCGCGCCTCCATTGCCTTCGGTTTTCTGCAAACTTTTTCACTCCGCTCCAAGTCTGCCCACATGCTTTCATCTCCTCCTCACATGACCTCCTCCATGTCACCCTCCCACTGACGACAAACTCGCCGCTTCCCTTTCGGGTTCCACTCGAGCAATGGCTTGTCTAGTGATGTCACTCGATGATTTCTTTCCTCAGAGTATGGCCAGTCCACCTCCATTTCTTCCTGCTTATTTGTTGCACAATCGGTTCCTGCTGGGTTGGTTCGCTCCCAGAGATTCCTGTTGCTGATCTTTTCCGGTCAGCCATCTCATCTTGAGTAATGAGCGAAGGCAACTGTTAACGAAGGTTTGAAGTTTGTTTAAGATGCTCTTAATGACGCGCCAAGTCTCTGATCCGTACAGTGAGTATCACTGACTTCACATTG